GCTGCTGCTGCTGCTGCTGCTGCTGCTGCTGCTGCTGCTGCTGCTGCTGCTGCTGCTGCTGCTGCTGCTGCTGCTGCTGCTGCTGCTGCTGCTGCTGCTGCTGCTGCTGCTGCTGCTGCTGCTGCTGCTGCTGCTGCTGCTGCTGCTGCTGCTGCTGCTGCTGCTGCTGCTGCTGCTGCTGCTGCTGCTGCTGCTGCTGCTGCTGCTGCTGCTGCTGCTGCTGCTGCTGCTGCTGCTGCTGCTGCTGCTGCTGCTGCTGCTGCTGCTGCTGCTGCTGCTGCTGCTGCTGCTGCTGCTGCTGCTGCTGCTGCTGCTGCTGCTGCTGCTGCTGCTGCTGCTGCTGCTGCTGCTGCTGCTGCTGCTGCTGCTGCTGCTGCTGCTGCTGCTGCTGCTGCTGCTGCTGCTGCTGCTGCTGCTGCTGCTGCTGCTGCTGCTGCTGCTGCTGCTGCTGCTGCTGCTGCTGCTGCTGCTGCTGCTGCTGCTGCTGCTGCTGCTGCTGCTGCTGCTGCTGCTGCTGCTGCTGCTGCTGCTGCTGCTGCTGCTGCTGCTGCTGCTGCTGCTGCTGCTGCTGCTGCTGCTGCTGCTGCTGCTGCTGCTGCTGCTGCTGCTGCTGCTGCTGCTGCTGCTGCTGCTGCTGCTGCTGCTGCTGCTGCTGCTGCTGCTGCTGCTGCTGCTGCTGCTGCTGCTGCTGCTGCTGCTGCTGCTGCTGCTGCTGCTGCTGCTGCTGCTGCTGCTGCTGCTGCTGCTGCTGCTGCTGCTGCTGCTGCTGCTGCTGCTGCTGCTGCTGCTGCTGCCACCTGCTGTTGCTGTTGCTGTTTCTGCTTCTTCACTCCAGCATTTTAGGTCGCACAAAACCAGGCCAGGCACGAACAGGCCTTCTCGAAATGTCCTTCTTAGCCCTCTCTCTGACCTCTCACTCTTATTAATTTTTTCCCCCTTTCTTTGTTCTGTGTGCTCGGGACCCATCCCTTTAATCCTCTCATTATGCTCCGTCTTCCTGCATCTCCTCTCGCTCACCCCCCTCGTCCCTCTTATCCCCTCGGGAATCCCACAGCCGACAAGGAGAGTGCGCCATCCATGCCACCACAAGCAGTGCGCCGCTCCCACTCACACTCTCCATCTCACCCAGCGGCGCATGCCCACTCCCGCTCGCACTCCTTCTCCCGCTCCGCCACCACATCTGCAACCAGCAGGGGCTCTCCCCAGGTTGTCTCCGCTTCCTCCTCCTCCCACCACAACACTCACCAGCAACAGCAGCAGCAGCAGAGAGAGGCAGGAGGCATTAGCAGGTCATTGTCTAGAAGTGGCAGCGCCCCCTGTCCGGTTCTCGATGCTGCTCCTGGCGCTGCTGCCGCTGCTGCTGTTTCAGGGCTGGCAGCTGCTGGAAATGGAAGCAACGGCACGAGCGCTGAGAAACACCGTCGCAGGAAGAGCCGTGGTGGCGGCGACAGCACTGGGCACAGCAGGGCAAGCAGTAGAAGCAGCAGAGGCAGCATTGACGCTGCTGATGGAGCGAGAGGCGAATCAGCAGGTGCTGCAATGTTTGCCGCTACTCCCTCTGGCACTGCAGCTGGTGTTACCGGACCTAGTGTGCCGGTTGCAGCAGCGGGCGCGGCGCAATCGCGGGCGGAGGAAGTGAGGCGGCTGATGGCTCTGGTGGAGGAGGGCAACAGTGAGCGGATTGAGTGGGGTGAGACGCTCTCTCGTGTCCGTGATGGCACATCTCAGCAGCAGCAGCAGCCGCAGCAGCATGCGGGCTGCGATGGTAGCAGCAGTGGTGTTGATGGTAGTGTAAGTAAGTCTATGAGTAGTGGTATCAGCACTGGCGATAGCACCAGTTGCAACGCTCCTGCCGGTGGTAGCTTAGGCACAGGTTTGAGTAAGCATAGCCATAGTGACTCCACTGCTGGAAGCTTGGAGTGTGATAGCGGACTGGTTGCAAATAGAGAAATTAGCAGCAGTAGTGTTAGGTCAGATAGCAGGGACAGGAAGAGCAGAGAGGGCAGCAGGAAAGGGAGCAACTGGAGCAGGAGTAGCAGCAGCGGCAGCCTCACCACCACAGTCACCAGTGGTAGCAATGATAATAGCAGTGGCAGTAGCAGGAGCAGAGGCAGCAGCAACAGCAGCAGGGACACAGGCACAGCTACCTCTGTACGTAGAAGCTCTAGTTTGTCCACCAGCAGTGGCAGTAGGAGAAGCAGCAAGGTGGGGAAAACCACAGGTGAGCGATCCGGTAGCAGCAAGTGATGATGATGAGGGAAGACTGAGTTTGTGGTAGGAAAGAGACGGAGATGATAAGGTGAAGCAGCAGGAGGGAGGAGGAGGAGCAGCTGCAGCATCAGCCGGAGCATGACCGTGAATGTGACTTGCGAGGGAGGTGATAAGAAGCGGCCACAATAACGAGCCGCATCAGCTGAGGGGCACCTCCATAAAGGACATGTAGATATTGATAGAGACCATATCCATCCAGGTTTGCTGATGGATCAAATTTTATCAGCACTTACGTGTTGGCGATAGCAGGCTGTTATGGTAGTGCGCATGATTGTATATCTACTAGCCTAGCCAGCCTTTTGTATTTATAGGATTTGTGCAGGATATTAGGCTTGTGTGCATGTACCCATGTTGGCTTTTGTTGTGACATTGTTTGCTTGTTCTGCTAATCGGAATCTGTTCCTTCCTTGCAGATGATGAAGCCTACGTTTTTATCGGATTCATTATTCCAACATTGATCCACAGAAGACGTATTCTCATAAGGGGGTACCGTACCACTGTGTACCGGTACAAAATCTTTATTGTGTTATTTCACTTGAATGTTTTGACTTGACAAACATGCATGGCGCTGTGGTCTCTGGTGCTGCATGATGGGGAATATGGGCTGGTGCCACGTCAGTTTCTTTTCAGCAACCGTGTCAATTCCATGGCAAGCGTCACCTGCCCCATGCAAAAAAATAAATACGAACGTATTTTCCTCGGGTCAGCACAAGAGTCTTCTAAGGACTCCGTTCAAACCCCACACCTTTGCGGGACTGCAAAACACTTTTGATGTAAAAAACTGGAATTTGAGTTAGCCCGAAACATTGAAAGCTTTTCCTGAACTCCAGCGCTGCAGAGACGCACACGGTCACGTGCCGCCTTCGGGGAAGATGAAGGCCAACCCATTTCACCAGCGCGGGGCGGGGTTGCACTTGCAGCAGCCACGATGGGCGCGGGAGCAGCGCCTGCAACAATCTTTTTTTGCGTGTGCTGTGGACCCCGAAGCGCGACGTTTTTGCGGCGTCCTTCCCGGCTACCTTCGCTACTTGGCTCAAATCGCCTCGCCTCCTCTCTTCGCTTCTACAAATATCACCTCCAACGACGGCTATCCTTGGAGTTTGTTCACCTCCTACTGTTACCTCTCTTTCTGACTCTTTCGATCACAAACGCTCACAAGCCTGTCATACGAAGTCTACAGAAACGAACCCCAAGGGCGTCTTTCAGCTACTCGCTTCTTTCCCTCGTCGTCGCCTTCTGATCATCCGGTTTTGTTTAGAATTAGCGGCTCGTTTGTAATTAATATTTTGTTCCGTCGACACCAGTTACATACATCCGCAGCGTTATGTCAAATACTCTCGAAGTGACAGGTACGGATACAATTAGTCACATCCGCACCCCAGAACTTGACTGAAATAGTGATTGAAGGGGCAGGCCTGCATCCCATCCCAATCCGCCTGCGCCTCGTCTGACTGAAATTAAAGAAGCGTTTCGTGCTCGGGTCGCGGTTCGTGTGAACCGCACCACTAATAGCCCCAGAGTACCGCAGCGCCTGTTCTTCGTCGTTCGTAGGACATCGCTGCATGCTCAGCAACCCAGCAATAAATACTCTGAACCGGCCTTGATTCCTTAAGCGCGGCAACGTCTGATCACAATCAGCTTAATCCTCGTGCGCCTCGACACGCGTGCCACCCGCACGCGGGTTTTTCACTCCTCCCTCTACCTCTCCGCTTCTCCCCCTCTATCTCTCCCCCCGTCTCTTCCGCCTCTCCGCGTCTCCCCCGGCGTGCGCGCAGTGGTGGGCGGAGTGGGGTTGTCGGACAAGGAGCTGTTCACGCGCCAGGACCCATACGTCGTCCTCGAGTACGGCCAACAGCGCTTCCGCTCCAAGACAGACATAGGTACCCCACACGATTTTTTAGGCGCCTCGAAAATCAAAACACGCGCCAGGATCCCTACGTCGTGCTAGAGTACGGCCAACAGCGCTTCCGCTCCAAGACGGACATAGGTACCACAAACGCTCATCGCATCACATCGCATGGCATCGCATCGGGATGGCTCAAAACATCGCATGCTGTGGGCATGGCGCAGCGCAGCTTAGCGTAGCGCAGCACAACTTAGCGTAGCGCAGCACAGCTTAGCGTAGCGCAGCACAGCTTAGCGTAGCGCACCACAGCTTAGCGTAGCGCAGCACAGCCCCGGTAGAACAAGAGCGCGCTGCTTGGCACGCCGGGCTGTTGCCGTTCTGCTTTCCCCCTTCCTCTCTTCCCCTCCTCCCCACGCCCCCTCTTTCCCCGATCGTGATCGTGTGCATGTCGCTCTCTGCCCCCATGCCCTCTGCCCCCATCCGCGCGCCAGACGGCGGCACGAACCCCGCGTTCAACGCCACGTTCACGCTCTCGTTGCTGCCGGGTCTCAACGAGCTCTGCATCGTCATCTGGAACGAAAACGTGCTGCGCGATAACGTCATCGGCTCCTGCAGGTGCGCCTCCCCTCCCCTCCCCCCCTCCCTTCCTCCCCTCCCCTCCTCCCCTCCCTTCCTCCCCTCCCTCCCCTCCCCTCCCCTCCTCCCCTCCCCTTCTCTGCTCTTCTTCCCCTTCCGCCCCTCTCCCCGTCCCTCCGCTCCACTCTCCTCGCCTCCGCTTCCCTCCGTCCACCACCCCTCAAACATCATCATTCCGCCGTGCATGTCATGACGTTTCAATCCACTTCATTCCCGCCTATCCAGGTCTACCTTCCGTCTCCGGGCGTCAACTGTTCCTCTGTGCTGCTCCCCTGCGCGTCTCTCTCGTCTTTTACCGTGCCCCTCTCTCCCCGGGCAGAATAGCGCTGGATAGGGTGCTGGCGACGGGCTTTGAGGACGGGTACTTCCCCGTGTACAACAAGCGACAGCAGTGAGTGCTCTCGCACACACGCACGAGCAACATGGGCTAGGGAGAGTGCAAGGTCTAGTCACAGGGACAGCGTTTGTGGCAGGCAGGCGGGCAGGCGGGGTGGGGGGGCCGCAGGTGGGCGGGGGGAGAGGGGGCGGGCGGGCGGGCAGGCAACCAGGCAAGCAAGCAACAAGCAGGTTGCGTCTTTTGCTGGTGTTTAGCATGTCACGATGTCATGAGCAGGCAGGCAGGCAGCCGCGATGATGCCTTGGAGGCCTCTGTGCTGACAGGGGGTGCTGCCTGCCACTCGGAGCCACTCAGACACCTCGCATCTCCACTCCACCCCCTTTCATCGGGCCCGCTTTCATTATTCCGCTCAAGCAACCTTCTCTCTGCTCCGTGTCTCCTCCTCTCCCCTCCCTTCTCCCCCCTTTCCGCTGATCCCCCACTGCCTTTCCGTGCACCCGTGCAGCCAGCATGGCTCCCTACGAGTCGTTCTCAAGTACCGCCCTCAGGTACGCCCTCCCCATTCGCCACTCTCCACGTCCCTTCTCCCCACCCACCACTTCCCACTTCCCTTCTTCCCACTCCCCACTCTCCTTCTCCCCGTCTGCCTATCTCCCCTTCTCCTCTTCCCCCCTTTCCTGCCTCCACTGTACTGTCATGTCTCTCGCTTGTCCGTCTCTCAGTTCAGTTTCTCTATTACCCTATCTGGTCACAGCATTATGAGGCGTCTCAGAAGTTATTCACTCCCATCGGGTCACAGCCGCTTGCACCTCCTCTGCACACATCACTTGTTCCACCCACCATCCACTAACCGATCCACACAACCCTCCAGCTCCATTCACCATCCATCCCTCTCCCCCTTCCCCTTTTCCTCCCATTCTCTACCACCCCCTCACTCCACCTCCCACGTCCCCTCATTCCACGCAGTATTCCCCCTCGCCATACCCCGCATCAACCTACCCCCCACCGTACGCTGCTCAACCGCCCTACGGTGCTCCTCCTGCCGCCTACCCCCCAAGCTACCCGCCCCAGCAATACCCACCGTCATCCTACCCTCCACCTCAGTCATACCCCTACGGCCAGTCTCCTTACCCTCCCTCGTACCCACCTGCACAAGGGGGGGCGTATCCCTATCGCTGAGCTTCTGTTTAGGGGGGGTACTTGCATAGACGTTGGCGCTGTTTTGGGTAGGTGGTAGCTGCGTACTGTACAGGCCATTCTTAAGAGTTAAGTTAGTCATCATTTTTGTAGCCTAGCTTTATTCAATAAATGCTCTTTTTTTTTTCCTCAGCAGTGTACTAAAGAGAATCTGCTCATGACGTGTCATGTTATTGTGCACAAGGGTTCAGCCATACTTAAATCCAAGTACGGAATTAAAATCATACCGTATGATATTCTGAAATTCAAGAATTCAAACATTTAAATTTTCAAGAATTTACATATTCAGAGATACGGTACAGATATTCATGGAATCTGGAGCATAATCTCAGCATCCCAACGTCAGGCGAGGTCAGGCGAGGTCAGGTTAAGTCAGGTAAGGTCAGGTGAGATCAGGGGGCATCTGCGCCAAGTGCTCCACAACAAACCGGCAGTTACTCTCCGACTCAGGCTGCGCCACGAGCGTGCCATTCCCCAGCATGGCGGCAAACATGGCAAAAGTGCTGATATACCGCGTGAAGCTCACCACCACCGACGGTTTACTCAGCATCAGAAAGTCGCCCAGCGTGCTCAGGTGGCTGCCCTGGGACAGGGACTTGGACAGGTGGATGGCCGGCGCGTTGGAGAAGAAGACTCGCCCGAACGGGCGCAGGAATTTAACCATGGCTGGCCGGACTTCGTCTGTGCCTGTGGCGATGAAAATGGTGAGGAGCGGGAGAGGGGGGCCGGGAGGGGGAAGGGCTGGGGAAGTGGCGGTGGGGGGTAGGGGAGAGGTGGGAGGAGTGGTGGTCGTGGTGGTGATGGCAGCTATTCGCATCGACTCTTCTACTGGCCATTCCTCCTCCAGGCGCCTCCGTTTTCCTGCACTGCTGCTGCTGCTGTCGCTGGCGCTACTCATGGTGGGGTTAGTAGGAGATGGGGCAGATGGGGAACTGGTTGGAGAGAGAGTGGGGGGTGCAGCATGGGGGGCAGAGGCTGGGAAGGACTGATTGGGAAGGGAGACAGCAGGTGCAGGGCTTGTGGTTTGGCTCAAACCACGGGAGGAGGCGTTTGAAGGGTCAGGGGGACTGGCGCTGGTACCAGCACCAGCGGCTGCTGCTGCTGCTGCTGCTGCTGCTGTTCCTCCTGCTTCTTCTGCCGCAGCGGAAGCACTAGCAGTGGCATCCCCACCACCCGCACTATCAGCAGCCGCATCAACAGAAGCAGCAGAAGAGAGTAGAGCGGCGGCTTTCTTCATGCGCAGGAACTGGGCGAGGCGAACGATGCAGTGCCAGCGCGAGGGGCGCAGCAGGCTCGCCACTAGCTCCTGCTGCTCCCGCTCTTGCTGCTCCCGCTGCTGCTGCTGCTGCAGTTGCAGACAAGAGAGGTCTCCGTTCGCGCATCCCAGCTCCACTTTGCTGGGTGGGGGAGGGGGATGGGGAAGAAGGAAGAGGGCACTTTTGAGACGTCTCGAAAGTCTTGCTGCTCCACCCAAATCGACCCGAATCGACTCTCTCTCACTTGGGGCGCCTTCGCACGTGCAGGGCGAGGTCAAACTGCATCCGCACCGCCAGTCTACCTACCCTGGCGTATTACTTTACTCAAAACCTGTTGACATGAACCTTTAAGTCGACCCGAATCGAATCTCTCTCACCTGGGGCGCCCTCGCACGTGCAGGGCCATGTCAAACTGCATCCGCACCACCTGCCCTGGCGGCACCTTCTCCATCTCCCAATGCTCCTCCTCCTCCTCCTCACCCATCCCCATCCCCACCCTTCCTCCTCCCACTCCCACTCCCGCCCCCTCCCCTCCTTCCGGCTGCTGCACCAGCGGGAGCGGGCGGATGGACCAGAGGCCCTTATCGAGCTCGCGCTCCAGACGAGCAGACGGGCCGTTGGGCAGCAGCAGCGCGAGCGTCTGCGCGTGCACGCACCAGATGGTGGCGCAGCGGAACGCGGCGAGCACGCAGCGGTACACGCGCTTGTCCCCGCGCCAGAACTTGTCGAAAAAGGACCCCGTGAAGACGGTGAGGACCGGGGAGGTGTCGAAGAGGCCGTGCAGGACGAGGTCGTCGGCTTCCAGGAGGGGGAGGGGGAGCGTGAGCGAGGTGACGGTGAGCTGGTCTGTGGCGCATTCAAAGGCGTCGCAGAGACGGTCGAGGACCTGAGAGGGGGACACAGCAGGGGGGAGGAGAGGGGAGGGGAGGGGTGAAGAGGGGGAGCAGGAAAGAGTGGTTTACGCGCGTCTGACTTTGTGCAGAGAAAGGTGGTGTGTGGGGTTTGAGGAGGGGGAGAGGGAGTAGAAGCATATAGAGAGACATGCAACAAATGACCCAGACACCCGTGTCAAGCAGGTGCAAGGAGGGTACAGCACCAGGAATAAGGAATGGGCAAGTGGAAAAGTGGGGCCTGTGAAAGCAGGCACAAAACAAGGCACACTCCCTCTCCCCATTCCTGGAATTGTGGAGGGAGAACGAGGACTGACAAAGCCGAGCATGTGTGTGTCTCTCCCACTCACCCGACTGTGCGGCCCACCGTGCCAGCGCAGGAAGCGGCGGCCAGAGAGGACTTTTGAGGCGCCTCAAAAGTCGTGCCAGCGCAGGAAGCGGCGGCCAGAGAGCAAGGCGAAGAGCAGAGCGGAAGAGAAGCCGCGCAGGGACGTGCCTCGGCACCCACACCAACCACCGCTCTCATGCCGCCGCCGCCGCCGCCGCCCCTGCAGCACTCGTGTTGCTGTTGCTGCTGGCTGTTGCGAGCAGAGCCCGCAGCTGATCTTCCGTAGCGTTTTTACCCGTGATGGTGGTGGAGAGGCCGGCATAGGCGGAGGGCGGAAGCAGCTTGGCGCAGGAACGGGTGTTCTGGTGGGGGGGAAGGTGGGGGGAAGGTGGGGAGGGAGGGGGGTAAGATAGAATGGAAGAGAATGGGAGGGCGGATTGTGTGGGGGGCGGTGAGGTGACAGGATGGAGTGGTGGCGAGGGCGGCTGGTGAAGTGGGTGAGCAGAATGGAAACTGAGAACATTACACTCCAAGGGTGCTCTGCGGTCCTGTGCTGTGCCGTGCAGTGCAGTGCGATCCGGTGCGGCCAAGTGCGGTGCTGTGCGATGCTGAGCAAAGGGCATTCGCCACGAGCTGCCTTGCTGTCGCGTGGGCCAGACCCACTGGTACCGCTTGGCTGCTGGTGAGATCAGATCCTCCTGCCGCCCAGCCTCGTTCACCCAGCTAAACGCCAAATCTGCTGACTCGTCAGGTCCCTCCACCCACCCTTCCACCAGCTCTCGCCTCCTCCACCCACTGCTGCTCCTCCCACCTCCTCTCCTCACATCCTGCTGCCCTTCTTTCTCACTCTCTCCCACCCCATCACTCTCAAATTCTCCCCGACTTTCTCCCTCTCCTCGCTCCCAACCCTCTCCTTCCCACTCCTCCCCCTCAGACTCGTCACCGAATCCACTGTCGTCGCCCCATTCCTCAGCCCACCAGTCCTGAACCCACACCCCACTGCTCCTATTCATTCCCCCTCGTCCCCGTGCCCTCGTTCCCCTTCCATTCCCCTCCTCCCCTGGCCATTCAGCCGCTCCCTCCTTTCCCCTCTCTTCCTCCTTGTTTTCCCGTCTCGTCGCCCACCGTCCCCTTCTCCTCAATTTGCCTCTTCAGCCTTTCGTTCCGCTCCCGCCACCCTTCTCCCTTCCGCATTCTCCTTCCCCTCCCCCCGCCACTCCGTCTGCGGCTTGCGTGCTCCGCCAGTTTCGCTGTCCGCCGCTGTTCCGCCAGTCTCTTTCCCCGCAAATTCCGCTTGCACGTCCATGCGAGACCCGCGGCGTGCCCGCCATTGGCTCCGGGATGCGCGGGGCCAATCAAGACGTGATGGTTTGGAAGGCGCCTTTTGGCGCGGAATTGCAGGTCCTTCGGCGGGGCTATTTTCAGAGCTAATTCCGGAGGTAATTCCGGAGCTAATTTTGGAGTTAAAGTGGATCTGTTCCGCGGGATTCATGTAACGAGCCGGTACGCCGGGGTCGGGAGTCGGCGTGTTCTGCGAATGGCGAATAGATTTGCGAAGAAGGGAGCTGGTTACCTGGAACACCATTGCCAGGCGACGAAGCAAGGCGAATCGGGTCGTGTGAGGCAAAGAGGCCAAGGAGCAGCAGGAGCGATGCAATACCGACGGAGAAGGGAGGGCGGACGAAGAGGCCCCAGCTGAGTTAATTGAACCGGATGCTATCACAGCCATGGTCTGCAGTTGCGTTGGTTGTTGATGGAGCAGTAGTAGCAGCTGGGTGATGGATGGATACTACCACCTTTGTGGCTGCTTCTCTTCTCTGGGCTGTTTGGTAAGACGGATGTGGGCCAGGCCAGCTGGCTCTCTTCCGAACCTTGCTGATCAATGGGTAATACCCGCTTTTGGTGTCTTCAGAAAGATAAAAGGTGCAAAACAGAACAGAGAAATATGTATTTTGCGGAATAATTTCGAGCAGAAATATCTTGAGCCCATTATTGAGTGTTTTTACTAATAATGATATTTTTTAAAATATTTATTTATAATTAGAGTCAGAAATAATATTCCGGCAGCAGAATTTGCAGTGCAGAGTCTTTTCTTTGCTACTTTGGTAAGCTTTCCCAGGTAACAACGCGTTCATAATTGTTCACGAGTGATCTTATATAGCGCTCAAGTGTGTTCCGAATATCCATTTCACACCCTGCAGACCCAGAATCTTGGGATAATATGTCACAACCATCATGGGACTCAATAACGTGAATGGAAAAAAAAGTAACGCGTACGGTCACTGTATCGGGTTTGCTGACGGGTTTGGTAAGTGGGGTCACAGATTCAGTCACTAATAACAGGTAAAAAATCACGCGAATGCTCACACATGTAGCTCCCGCCAAAAAATCCTGAAACTCTACAAAAATCCCGTTCGCTACCAACCAATCAGCTAACTTAAAAAAAAAAAAAAAAAAAAACTAAAACCCGATCGGAATCGGATGCGGTTTGGGAACGGATCAGCCCTAAACACCTGCCGAATTGCGTTTAGGGTTGATTCATCCGAAATGCATCCAGGTTCGTTTTGGGTATTATCTTTTTTGGGCGGTAGTTTCATCTGTGACCATTCGCGTTTTTTTTTTTTTACCAGTTTATAGTGACTGATTCCGTGAAACGTTTTATCAGTCGCGTGAAAACACCCTTTCCAGTGAGCGTACCCTTTTTTTTTCCAAAAATGTTATTGAGTCCCATTATGGTTACGAATGGCATAATTTCCCCTAGAATCTTGGGCGAGGCGACCATGCGATGTCTCACCGGACCGGACGACGGTCCCACCGCTGCCTAAACCAAACCACCCTGCCACCGTCACCCAGCCACTCGGTGCGCTTCCCGCCAACGCGATACTGACCCAGCCACGCCACTCCACTCCACCACTCTGCATTGCGGCGCTATTTTTCCGCCAGCCCTCCCCCGCTGGGTCGCTTCCCTTTCCCCGCACTCTTACCGCGCAGATATCAGGGCGGAAAGCTGATTGGGGTGGGGTGGGGGAGAAAAATACTGTAGGCGGGAGGGGAGCGCTCCAGTCGCGCAACGGTTGCAGTGGAGTTGCGCACTTAATATCCGCGTTCGTTTCGTTGCGATTGTTGGTCGTTGAGTTCCCGACGTGTACCAGATTTCCACATTTCACTTTCCGCTCCTCCTCACTCTGCTCACCAGCAAAAGGGGGTGTCGTTGTCACCACCCCATTTCTCTCGCATCCCAGCTGTCGCCTTTTTGGAAGCGTATCTGTTCCGCTTTTTTGTTTACTTGTCCTAGTCACACAAATCACACACCGGCCTCGCGTTCCGATCCAGATCTAATAGCGCGCTAGCTTTTTCGAGCTTTTGCTTCTTCTTTTTACCTTCCAGCAACCTTTCGATCTCGAATCTCGCCAGCACCCACACGGGCAATCCTTCGCACGCGAAGTCGTGACATCCCTTGCGCAATGGCCTCTACCAAGGGGCTCGTCCCCATCACGCGAAGTTTCCTCGCCGCGTTCTACGCGAAGCACCCGTTTGATCCTCTGGACGACGACGTGGAGAAGCTCTTCGCTCGCCTCACGGAGCTCAGCGAGGCAATCGATGCCAAGCGCGTCGCCACAGAAGGTTCGCTACAGCCTCGTCACACCTCGCTTAGCTGTTCTCACTTACTAAATTCCATCAAGTAGGATCTATCCGTCCGTAGATTTATTGGCATCTGATAGTGATCCTCAGCATGCTTCGATGGTGGAATTTTTTCTCCATTCTGTTTTTTCCCTTGCTACCGATGTTCCCGGTTCGGACATGGCGCTGCGGTAGGTTTTAGTTAACTCAATGCTGATTAAAGGTGGTAGGATCTAGTGCAAAATGAGCAAGGTAATGTGAGTTCGAATCATGCATTTTTCACCATTCTCACAAAATAGAGTCGTCAGTGGTTTATATTTTCTTTTTTTAGAAGTCGACCTGCTTTATCTTCAAGAAGAGGCTTCCTTGGGCTCTTCAAATAATTATCCATGAGTTTCGCGCATCAAATTTGGAGGGCAGCGTAAATCTTTTCCAATGCGAGCAGCTGGAATGCAGATCTGGCAATAAAGTGTTTTGATGCATGATATCGTTCAGGCGTGTACGAATATCGTGGATCCCTGACATCAAATCTATTCTCGTTCCATCGCTTATGCATATCCGTATGCATGCCTGTTAATGTTCGGGATCTCGTCTGTGCGTGCCTGCGTGTGGATGGGCGTGTGACTTTGCTCCACAGGCGAAGAGAAGGGACTGTTAGCCTCGTTATTGCTCGAGGCGCCGCACAAGCTTGACGAAAACTTCTGGAAGAATCGCGAGCAGATCGAGGAAATGCTTTTTCTTCTAGATGATGCTCAACTGCCTGCGGCGGTAAGCACTGCTCTACTCTCTCCTCTTTTCCGCCCCTCCGCCCCTTCTTAGAAAGAAACCTCGTTCGCTGTGATGTCAAAGATCGTCGTACCCCTACTCGTTCTGTCGCGCCTCGTCGTGCGGATTTCGCTACTGTAACTCGTTTCCTCTCGTTTCTGTCCTCTCGTTCCTGTCCTCCATCTTGAACCCGCGTACGCTGTCCCCCCCCACCCCCACCCCCCCCCCCCCCCCCCCCTCCTCATCTTTTCCGTAACCCTTCCTTCGTTGTTGACTCCTTCCTCCTCCGCGCGCTCGTGCGCGTGCTCGTTAATCTCTCGCGCGCACACACGCTTGCGACCCCCCCCTCCCCCTCCCCTCTTCCCCTCTCCCCCCCTCTCCTCCTTTCATGTGCACGAAACGCCAGGTTAAGGCGGGCGAATCGCCGGCGGGGAAAGCAGCAGCGGAGGCAGTGGGGAAGTGGAAGGAAGAGCTGCAGACGACGGTGGGCTTGATCGAGAAGTTTCAAGAAGTCACCAGCGAACGCATCACCAGCATGGGTATGATATCCTCTTTATTATTGATGCGACTCGATGTAAGGATCGCAAGCTTGGTCGTGTGATCGCTCGCCACAAGGACAGTATGATATTGCTTGTTATTAAGACCATACCAGGATAGAAGTGGCTTTGACCCCACCCTTACCTCGACTGCACCTGACAGTTTGATCGCCCTTTTGCGCCGCTCTCCCCCTCCCCCTCTCTTTCCGATTTCTTTTCCCTTTTCTTGTTCTTCCTCCTTCTCCCTCTCCGCTCTCCCCCCCCCCCCCCCCCCCCCATCCCCCATCCCCGCTCCACCGCGCCCCGCCTCGCCACGCGCGGCGCAGTGTTCACGTACATGCCGCAGGACTTCCGCGGCACGCTGCTGAAGCAGCAGAAGGAGCGGTCGGAGGCGCGGCGCAAGCAGGAGGTGGCGAATCTCGTGAGCAACGGCGGCACCATCAAGCAGAAATACGCGCTGCTCTGGCAGCAGCAGATGGACAGGTGCGCTCTCCGTGCGCGTGTGCGTGGGTGTGTGTGGGGGTGCGCGTGCGCGCGCGCGTGTGTGTATTGCGCAGTACGGGGTGGCGGAACAGGGGGGCGGGCGCGGAGGGAGGGGAAGGGATAGGGGAAGGGAAGGGGAAGGGATAGGGGAATGGAAGGGGAAGCTTTTCTTCTTACTTGCTCAACCAGTCACTCTACCTGCCTCCCACTCCCTGCCCACTTCCGCTTTCCTCAACGCCAATCCCACCGTCTATCACTCATCTTCTCTCTCTCCCTCCTCCCTCCCTCCCTCGCTCCCACTCTTTCGCTCTCCCCCCTCCCCTCCTCCCGCTCGGCTCGTCCCGTCCGGTGCATGGGCACCAGGCGGCACACGCTGGCGTCGCTGGGAGCAGCAACGGGCATTTACCGTACGCTTGTCACCTACCTAGTTGGCGTGCCACAGGTCAGCTCAACCTCTCTCTCTCTCTCTCTCTCTCTCTCTCTCTCTCTCTCTCTCTCTCTCTCTCTCTCTCTCTCTCTCTCACTCGCTCTCCCCTATACTCCACGCTGCCGCAGGCCGCTCCTACCCTCCCTTTTCCTCCGCTCCCTATTTGCCGCTTAATCGCTCCTCTCCGCTCCGCCCCTTTCTCTCTCTCTCTCTCTCTCTCTCTCTCTCTCTCTCTCTCTCTCTCTCTCTCTCTCTCTCTCTCTCTCTCTCTCTCTCTCTGTCTCCAACCCCGTTCTCGTGCTCTTTGCTCCAGGTCTCTATGCTTTGTTCTTCTCCCCACCACCTGTCTCTGGTTTCCCCACTCGTGATTGCGGTTCACTTCGCACTGCCCCAATTCTTCTCTTCCCAGTCCGTCTTTACTTGCCTCTCACATGCACGTTCCTTGTTCTCCTTCCCAACCCTCTCACTCATCCACCTCATCTGCTCTTCCACCCTTCCTGTTCTCTCCTCTCCTCATTCTTCCCTCCGACCTCCCCCTCCCCTCGCCTCCCCCCCCTCTCTCTCCCCGTAATGCATGCAGATCCTGCTTGACTTTGTCAAGTCTATCAACGACCACAACGGGTACTCCTCTCCTCTCCTCTCCTCTCCTCTCCTCTCCTCTCCTCTCCTCTCCTCTCCTCTCCTCTCCTCTCCCCTCTCTTTCTCTCTGCCACTCCCCTGTCAGTGCTGCTCCGCCCCTCCCCCACGACCCACTCTTCCTCCTCCCCTCGCCCCACCCCTGCCGCTCTTCTCCGTTTCTCTGCTTCTCCGTCACCAATCTCTTCTCCGCCATCCACTCCACCCCCCACCCCTCCTGTGCGTGTCCGCGCGCAGTGTAGTGTTGCCCCATGGAGAGGACTTCAGGTGTGTTTTGAGTCGACTCAAAACACACCCGTGTCCGCGCGCTGTGTAGTCTTGCCCCATGGAGAGAACTTCACCGTGTCCGTGTCTGTATCCGTGCGCTGTGTGCTGTGCAGGCCCATGGAGGAGCAGCGGCTGTCGTACGGGCCGCCGCTGTACCGCCTGACGGCCCTCGCCAACCGCCTGCACATCTTCCTCGCGCTCTGGTGGTCCTCCTTCGACGAATGCACCGAGTCAGTCAGGGGCGGGGGAGGGGGACGTGGGGGGAGGGTTGTGGGGGAAGTGGGGGTAGTGGAGGGTAGAGGGGGGGGGGGAGCAGGGCAAGAGGGGTGAGGGCGCGGGGTGAGGGCGAGGGGAGGGGGCGAGGGAGGGGGCGGGAGGGTTGTTTAATCGCCAGCCACTCCAGAGTCCCCAACCGTCTGCACATCTTCCTCGCGCTCTGGTGGTCCTTCTTCGATGACTGCGCCGAGAAAAATGTGGGAGAAGGGGGTGGAGGGGGGTTTGAATGACTCATCATTCATGTTCCCTTTATTTCCCCTCTCGTCCGCTTTTTTCCTTTACTCAATCCCTCTCACGGTCGCTGGTATCTCCTTGCCTTTGCTCCCCCCGGTGGGTTTATCCTTGGTGGTGTGGTGGCGGGCGCACACAGGAACGCGTCTGACTACGTGGGTGTGGTGAGCGACGCTGCAGCCATCTACTCCAAGGAGATTGCGCGATTCCTCACGCTCCTCAGGTGCCTGCTGCTGCGTGCTTAGATTCACGGATGCTTGTGTGTTGAGGGTGTGTTGAGTGTGTGTCTGAGTGTGTGTCTGAGTGTGTGTCTGAGTGTGTGTTTTTGTGTGCATGCTCTTGTGCATTTACACATGGTAGGGTTAGTTTCAGGCAGGGGGGCAGAAGGACTCCGTTGTGGGTGGGTGCCCAGTGCTGTTGCTACCACCCACCAGCGCATCAAGAACATGTGCTCACGCACGCCGGTGCACATCAGACCATCCAAAGACACATGAGAATTCAGGCACATGAGTGCAATCAACCACTTGCATGCCATGCCTCCCTCCTGCTCTCCCACTTGCCCTCTCCATTCCCTTCAACTCCCGTTCCTCGTCTGCCCCTTGCTGTCTGCTGTCTTCAACACTTCCCCTGGTTTCCCTCCGCCCTTCTTCCCTTCCCCTCCTCCCCCCCTGACCCTTGTGTGTGTGTGCATGTGTGTGCAGCGATGTGTTTGAGCAGTCACCGTTCTTGATATCCCCAGAGGAGGCCATGTCCGCTGAGGACAAAAGGTGTGTGTCGTGCCGTGCCGTGTCCACACCTCTTTGCACATGTGGCCTTGTTAGTAGAACGTTGTAGTCGTTCCTCCAGAGGAGGTCGTGTCTGCTGAGGATAAGAGGTGTGTGTCGTTGTGTCGTGCCGTGCCCACGCCTCCTTGCTCATGTGCTCGCTTCGCTTCACATTGCCACCATGCTCGCTCCCCTCCCTTGCTGCGACGCTGCACAGCACATGTGGCCAGGAGCGCACTAGCATACCCGACTCCCTGTTTCCCTCGTCTCTCCCTTCGCCCAGGATCCATCGCCCAGATGCATACCGCACATCGCACACACCAATCCCACTGTTTCTTTCTCCTCCACTCACCCCCCCCTCCCCCCCCCCCACCCCTCTTTTCCCCCTCCCCGTTCGCCCGGCCATGGCGTGTGCTGCACCCATGGCAGCAAGCTGGAGGAGTTTAAGGAGCTCAACATCGCATATGGCCAGAGCTCGCAGGTATGCATTGCCATGCCATGCCCCGCCATGCCATGCAACGCCATGCCACGCCATACCCTGATATGCCATGCCACCCTGTGCCTTTTCATTCCCGCAGTGTATGTGAGTGTGCTTCCTTTCCAGTTCGCATCCTCTCCACTCCTGTCTACTCTGTCTCCCCTCCATTCCTCTCTCTGTGCTGGCCGTCACCCGTCCGTATTTTACCTGCTGCTTCTCCCATCTACTCCCTCTTTCACCCCTTCTGCACTCCCCTCTGCGTGCCTGTTCGTCTGTGTGTGTGCCACCAGGTGCCAGTGACAGTGGACGCAGTGGGCACCCTAGTGGCCTGGGAATTCAACCTCACTTACGGCAAGGTACGATTGTTGTTCCCGATTGTCCTGTTCGCTTGTCCTCTGTGCCTTGATCCTGGTTGGCTTGTGCTTGTCCCACCGCACCGCACCACACTCACACCACCCTGTCCTGTGTGTGCCATGGCGCATGGCTCTGTGTACCAGGATATCGGCTTCAACGTGGAGTACACTGCAGAAGACGGCTCCAAAACGGTCAGTGCTCACTCTCCCACCCTGACCCTCACCCTCTGGTGAACGCACCGCTTACTGCCCCCGTTTTCCTGACCCCTTCTGATATTAAATCTTTCTTCTGGTGTTTCCTCGCCCCCCTTCTCATTCTTCGTTTCATGTGGCATTGGAATTATCCTCCCGACTTTCCCCACTCCTCTCATCATCCGGCCTCTGGTCTGGGGCCTTACTATTACTATGATCAACCCTGCAGAACGTCCACCCACCTCCCTACCCCCCCCTTTTTCACCGCGTCCTTTCCTACGTGCACCTCTCGCTTCCTAGTCCACCTAGTAATACACATGGGCCACTCACATAACAAACATCCCCCCACAAGTCACTCCTCGATCCCTGTCTTGGCCACACATTGTTCTCATCCGTGTTGCCTTGCACTGCCGCTGCCTCTCTGTGTGTTTGACTTTCTCCAGGGCATGGTGCCATACCAAAAAGTGGACAAGCATGAGGTGCGTGTGTATTGCTCCCTGGATGCTTCATCACGTGCTCATCCTTCCGTTCCTGCACTGCCATCTCCTGGTCGTTCTGATTGATCCTTAATCCTAGGCACAGCAAGGGAACTTGTTTCCTCCATACTGATTGATATCTTCAACAGTTTCGTCTGTACATCCTTTGTGGAGCCCTTTCATCTGCACTTTCCTCTGCCTCCTCTACCCCCTCTCTGACCTGTGCTACTTCTATTTCCATTCCTCTGCCTGCCCTGCATCGTGGGGTGCTGTGTGTGCTGTGTGCTGTGTGTGCTGTGTGCTGCGTGTGCTGTGTGGTTCAGGGGAGCTTCAATGCGCCTGCAGTGGGCTCGTATACCATCACATGGGACAACACCTACTCCCTCCTCACAAAGAAGGTCATACCCCCCACCTGCCCACCTTTTTCTCGTCCCTCTCCACACCACACATACACACACACACGCAGGGGAGACCTCCACGCACTTCCTCTGCTCTCCCTCCTGTCACTGCCTTGCACTCCCCTCTCTTCTCTCCCCCAATCATGGTAGTCCTTTTCTGTCTCCCCCTGTCCCTGTCCTGTTCCGATCTCTCTGTCCCTGTCTTTTTCTCCATGTAAGTGTATCAGACTGTGCGATACAAGGTGGGAGCCATTCCCCCAGTGGAGACAGAGGAAGAGTTGAAAGCAGAGGAAGCTCTGTCACACCCAGAGAAGCAAGGCGATGCCAGCACACCGACTGCTGCTGATGCAGATGCAGGTGTGGCTGATGCAACACCTGCTTCAGAAGCTGACACTGCCACCACTTGAACTACTGTACCATGCTGACTATATTGGTCCACAGTTGAGTTTTTTCACATAGACTGGTTAGCACAGGCGAAATTGATGGTGTAGTACACATTGTATTTGGGGTTATGGTGCAGCATTGTGTACTTTGCCCTTGTTCTGTAGCAAAGATCGTTGAATGTCATTAGAGCTAGCGTATGGAATTGCTTTGGAAAAACACTTGCATTTTGACTTGTACTAAGGTGTTTAAGTGAACGTACTAAGATGTATTGTGATAACCTTGTACGGGGAGGTGTCTATATAACGGATCTTTCAGTGAGATGTGTTCCCGGCCAGTACGGCTCGCTACCACAACCACAATAATCACGTAATTATTTGTCTGCCCGTCAACATCACGTATATCAAGTGAAGCGGCTTTCTGGTTCAACACTACCACTTGACACATTCACTGTTCCATTCACCCGGCCCTCCTAATTTCCGCTTTGACATGTGTTGTAAATTTCATGTCCAAAATACACCTAACCACCGCTATTTTCTTTCGGTCTATTTTCAACCCCACTTGCACAAGTGGGGTATGCACCCTTTCCTAATTTATTGACCGAGGGCTGTGTGGGGCATCATTAAAATTTAGCGAGAGTCTGTTCCAGATCCCCGAAGAGAGTACTGTAGAAGTGGCGCTATGGATTCAGATTCGCATAATGACTTTAAACTTCGAGCATTAGGCGTCATTCATAGCCCCAGTCATCTAAGTGTCTAACTGAAATAGCCGAAAACGTGCAGGGTAGCTTTGAAACGCGAGATTAGTGGGTTGGGTTTCCCCTTGAAAGTAGCGGTGGTCAGGTGTAGCTGCATCCTGGTGCCAACCAGACATGATCTGTGGCCGTTCCGACGGAGTGATCCTGCCGAACCTATTGCTGAACTGCTGACAAAAAGAGGGCTGTGTCAAGCGTCGGGTAACTCTGACACCCTCCACGCGATTCGTCCGACAAATCAAACAATTATGCGAAGAGTGTGTCTCAATGTTTGCAATCGTTCATCATCCAACCCAACCATTGCACAACTTTGATAAACCGTTGTAGAACATACTGCAGCTTATTAAGCCGCACTCGCACCAACCCACTCGGGGAACGCCCTCTGCGAAACAGGCTACTGTTCTGATAGGTCGGTGAACTGTAGTGGCGCGTCCCGCAATTATCGCACTGCTTGATCCGGTGGGGGAGGGAGACAGCTGCGACGCCCATCCATCGCCGTTGGCGAATGCACGAAACCCAGGAACCAGTCAGCCCAGCACAGCACGAACAGCTAGCGTGCGGTTCAGCACCACCATCACCACCACCACACACCACAAGCACCAGCACACAATCAGCCCCAACCACACACATCATCTCACATCTCACACCTGTGCGGTGGAGGGAATTGGAAAACCGTACTATCGATAGTGTTTCAAGGGTGTGCTTCACTCGAGTGACCTGCAGTGGCCAGCTTCAAAGGCGCACCACACAGCCGAGTCGACTGCATTGCCGAGACCGTGACCTTCGCGCAAGGTTGCCGCATTACACATTCCTCTCGAACCGTGCTAAAACGCCATGGCGTGTCGCTGGCATGGCAGGAGGCGATTCGTCTTCCACGCGACAGTAGCACTAGTCGCTGTTTTGGCACTAACGCCATGGAACGAGGAGCCGGAGCGCGCTGGAGGCGGTGTCAGGCTAGCCATGGGGCAGGCAGAGAGCCCGCTGATTGGTCAAGGCGTTGACCCGTTCACGTCGAACGTGGTGTCCGAGCCGGTGCCGGTGTATCTCTCCGTTATGCTACGGAAGCTCATCACCGTTGATGGTAAGATAATGAGGAGGACGGTAAGATTGCGCAGAGTGCGTCCGTCTGTGAGACACAATATATGTCGTCGCCTTTGAGAATTCTCAAATGCGGAATTCCTGATAGGCTTGCAGAGTATCCGTTACTATCTCTTCGTTTTCTGTTCCTCGCAATTCCACGTCGCCCGCCGATGCGCGCGCCATCGTCGATTCAGCGGCATCCCGCGTCGCGATTCTGCTGGCTGACTTGCGTGTCGGGCTTGTTCATACGCCCGCTTGTACTACAGATCGCGTCGTCTAACTGAGAGCCCCTTCAACATCGGAGGTCCCCGCATTTCATTCATGTCTTATTTACACAAATCAAGTATTAAACGTTTACCTGCTAAGTCCTCTCCTCTCCTTTCCCGCCTCCCCCGCCTCTCGCGGCCCCCCGCATTCCTCCCCCGTGCGATGCGCGCAGAGCTCAAGTACAGCTACAGCGCGTACTTTCAGGTCGTCACGTCGTGGCGCGATCCCCGAGGTCAGTCGTCGTGCGCTGTCCTTCACAGCGCCGCGCTCGCAAACTACCTTTCCCTCGTTCGGACCCCCATTGCCTCTCGTTCCCCCATTGCTGCTCGCTCCCCCATTGCCGCTCGCTCCCCCATTGCTGCTCGCTCCCCCATTGCCGCTCGCTCCCCCATTACCGCTCGCTCCCCCATTGCCGCTCGTTCGCCCCATCGCCCCTGCCGATCGATCCTTCCCCCTGCGATGCGCCGCTGCATCGTGAACGCGCACGCGTTTCGTGTCGTCGTCCGCCCGCCCTGCACCGCTCGCGTGCCACTTTATCCGGTGCATGCATACACTCGTACCTCTGAATTGCAAGCCTATAAAAAACCCACCCTTGTGTGTCCGCGACCACTCACTCCCCCCGTCTCCCCTCCTTTCCCCTCATCCCCTCAACCCCTCGCTCCCCTCCTTCGCCGGTGTGACATCATGCCCTCTCTCCCTTCCTCTCCCTTCCTCTCCCTTCCTCTCCCTTCCTCTCCCTTCCTCTCCCTTCCTCTCCCTTCCTCTCTCTTCCTCTCCCTTCCTCTCTCTTCCTCTCCCTTCCTCTCCCTTCCTCTCTCTTCCTCTCCCTTCCTCTCTCTTCCTCTCCCTTCCTCTCTCTTCCTCTCCCTTCCTCTCCCTTCCTCTCCCTTCCTCTCTCTTCCTCTCCCTTCCTCTCTCTTCCTCTCCCTTCCTCTCCCTTCCTCTCTCTTCCTCTCCCTTCCTCTCTCTTCCTCTCCCTTCCTCTCTCTTCCTCTCCCCTCTCCCCTCTTCTCCCGGTCGCCAGCTCCCCGGGCGCAGTGAACAACACGTAGGGGGTGATGAAGGTGATGGATCAGTTTGCACCGGACCTGGTGGCGGCGCATTAGGAAACCGCAAGCCCGATCCTTGTGTGACCTCATCCGCTCTCTCCCTTCCCCTCGCCTCCCCGCGCCCCTCTCCCCGCGCGCGCATCGCAGTGAACAACACGCTGGGAGTGATGAAGGTGATGGATCAGTTCGCGCCGGACCTGGTGGCGGACGCCATGAGCAACTGCAAGCCCAACGTCACCTTCGCGGGCTTCAACATCAGCCAGAAATCTGACTGCATAGACGGATTCAGCCAGGTGCGTTCCGCGGGCTCAGTCAGGTGCACTGCGAGGAATCGCGCGCCTTCCATCCATCCCCCTTCCCTAGAAAAAAACTCCACCCCCCCCCCCCCCTCCTCCCTCCCCATTCTCCCCTTCCTTGCTGTTGCCAAGAGAAAAGAAGAGCTTTACATGGGGTTTGATGTCAGTCGGATCAAAAGACGCGTTTCTCTTGGTCTCTTTCTTCCTCTCCCTCTCGCTCTCTCTCTCTCTCTTTTCCACTCTTCGACTCAGCACAGCGTGCTCTTACCACCATCCCTCTTCAACCATCCCGCCCTTTTTCCCTCCCGTCCCCTCCGCTGCTCCCCCCCCCTGGACTTGTGTGCTCGCGCCAGACAAGGCGCCCCTCCTGTACGCCCTTTTTCCCCCCTCCTGTGCGCCCTTTTTCCCCCCTCCTGTGCGCCAGACTCAAAAACCCTTTCTTCCCCCTCCTGTGCGCCCCTTTTCCCCCCCTCACCTCCCCTCCGCCATCCCTTGTACGCGTGCGCGCATGGCAGACGGGGCTGCCGCAGCTCAAGGACTGCAAGAAGCCATGCACACCGGCAGGCACGCGGTGCTGCGATGGCGTGTGGCTGCCCTCTCTCAACATCCCCAACGTCATCTTCTTCCCGCAAGACCGATACGCCACTGGTGAGTGCCGTGCCGCTCCCTCCTGTGCCTGCAGTTATACACTACTAGTGAGCGCGCGCGCTCGCTCCCTCGTGCGCCACCTGTGCGTGTGCGCTCTCTGTTTCTCAATCTCTCTGCCTCCAGCTGCGTTTTGAGTCGACTAAAAACTCTACTCATTGCACACCTGTACATGTGCGCTCTCTTTTTCTCAACCTCTCTGCCTCTAGCTGCTCACTGTCTCACTCCCACGCAGTATACGCTCACCTCCTCTCCCTCCCCCTTCCCCCCTCAACGTGTGCGCGCAGAGAGCATCTACTTCTTTTGCGACATAGGCCCGGACATAAGCACCTATTGACTCACCTCTTCACCTCTCTCCCCTCCCCCTTCCTCCTCCCCCTCCCCCTCCCCCTCCCTCTGCGAGCAGAGAGCATCTACTTCTTCGGCGACATAGGCCCGGACATGAGCGCTGTGGACCGCGAGGTGGTCGTGGAAGGTGCGATGCCGCTGGGGCTCCTCCTGTGCCACTGGGGGGCAGAGAAGAGGGCGTGGGGAGGGGGGAGAGGGTGGGGAAAGGTGGGGGAGAGGTGGGGGAGAGGGTGGAGGGGTGGGAGGGACGTTTTTCCAGTGGAAATTGCTTCTGTGGATGTGTTTACTTTTGCGCTTCCCTCTCCCTTCCCTCTTCTTTCTTCAATTCCATCTCCCCTCGCTCCCTCGCCACCTCGTCTCGTCCCCTGTGCGCCCTCCCTATCTACACCAGGCGAGTTCTCCTCCCCGTTCAACTTCCAGCGCTTCCCCTTCGACACACAAGTAAGCCACCCTACCCTACCCTACCGTACCGTACCCTACCTTACCGCCCTGGCTCCTCTTGAGGCTCAAAAGGGCTACTTCTGAAGCAACCAATTACGCCACAATACTGCCCCGGATCCTTGACTCCTCCACCGTGTTTGAACAAGTGTTTTGAGACGTCTCAAAACACCAGTTAAGCCACAAGACTGCCCTGCCCTGGATCCTTGACTCCTCCCCCACCAGCCACTCCTTCTCTCCCACCTCCCCATCGCCCTCTTCGCACCCGAAACCATCTAGATCCAACCTTCCCCTTTTGTTCGCTCCTCCCTCCTGCAGTTCCCAAATTTCCCGTCTCTCCCGTCGCTCCTGCCTTCAACCCGTCCTCCCCCTCCTTCCTCTGCTTGATGCCAACCCTTCCCACACAGCATCCGCACTTCACATTGACAGCATGAGTGGGAGCGTGAGTGAGAGCGTGAGTGAGAGCGTGAGTGGGAGCGTGAGTGGGAGCGTGAGTGAGAGCGTGAGTGAGAGCGTGAGTGGGAGCGTGAGTGGTAGCGTGAGTGGGAGCGTGAGTGAGAGCATGAGTGAGAGCGTGAGTGAGAGCGTGAGTGAGAGCGTGAGTGAGAGCGTGAGTGAGAGCGTGAGTGAGAGCGTGAGTGAGAGCGTGAGTGAGAGCGTGAGTGAGAGCGTGAGTGAGAGCGTGAGTGAGAGCATGAGTGAGAGCATGAGTGAGAGCATGAGTGAGAGCATGAGTGAGAGCATGAGTGAGAGCATGAGTGAGAGCATGAGTGAGAGCATGAGTGAGAGCATGAGTGAGAGCGTGAGTGAGAGCATGAGTGAGAGCATGAGTGAGAGCATGAGTGAGAGCATGAGTGAGAGCGTGAGTGAGAGCATGAGTGAGAGCATGAGTGAGAGCATGAGTGAGAGCATGAGTGAGAGCATGAGTGAGAGCATGAGTGAGAGCGTGAGTGAGAGCATGAGTGAGAGCATGAGTGAGAGCATGAGTGAGAGCATGAGTGAGAGCATGAGTGAGAGCGTGAGTGAGAGCATGAGTGAGAGCATGAGTGAGAGCATGAGTGAGAGCATGAGTGAGAGCATGAGTGAGAGCATGAGTGAGAGCATGAGTGAGAGCATGAGTGAGAGCATGAGTGAGAGCGTGAGTGAGAGCGTGAGTGAGAGCATGAGTGAGAGCGTGAGTGAGAGCATGAGTGAGAGCGTGAGTGAGAGCATGAGTGAGAGCGTGAGTGAGAGCATGAGTGAGAGCGTGAGTGAGAGCATGAGTGAGAGCGTGAGTGAGAGCATGAGTGAGAGCGTGAGTGAGAGCATGAGTGAGAGCGTGAGTGAGAGCATGCATCCATCCACGCACCCTTCAATGCAACCTCCCAGCATGCACCGCCTCCCTGCAACGCCCCTCCGCACGCCCCTCGCTCCACCCCCACCAGGACCTGCGGTTCACTCACAGTGATGGTGGAGAGTGGCAACACCTTCGTTTCCACCCCTACCTGCACTGCACTGCACTGCATCCTCCCTGCAACACCCCTCTCTCCCCTCTACCCTACAGGACCTGCGGTTCACAGTGACGGTGGAGAACGGCAACATCTAACTGGTGTGCTTGCATCACTTGCATCACTTGCATCACTTGCATCACTTGCATCACTTTTGAAGAACTCTCAGTCTCTCACTACTGATACAAGCACGCCCCTCTCTCCCTCCCTCTCCCCCCCACAGGACCTGCGGTTCACAGTGACGGTGGAGAGCGGCAACATCTACCTGGTGACGTCCAACTCGGGGCGGCAGCAGGAGCAGGCGTCCAAGGGCCTCAGCGGGGGCGGCGGGGGGGGCTTTTCCTCGGACGAGGTCACGGGCTGGCGCATCAGCCGCGTGGGACTCAACTGCTCCGCCAGTTCTTCAAACACCGCAGTCTCGGATCTCGCTAACTATGCCCAAGGTATACAGACCGGGTGCATGAGACGGTTCTCAATGTCGACTCACGGGGTGGCGAATCAATCGTGTGGGACTCAATTCCTCCGCCAGTTCTTCAAACACCGCTGTCTCGGATCTCGCTAACTATGCCCAAGGTGTGAAGCCTGAGTTGGGTTGACCCAAAAGCCGCCGCAACTGCTCTGCTCGGCTGCAGGAATGTGGAGTGGAACGATGGGGAGTGGAATGTGGTGGAAAAGAGGTGGAGATTAAAACACTCTGCCGACAGCAACAGAGAAAAAAGAACAAACTCACTCACTCGTGTTCCTCTTCTCACTGCCCCTCAACCTACCCTCCTCGTTCCCCCTCCCCCTCCCCTCTCCCTTCTACCCTTCCCCCCAACTGTGCAGATGACCCGTGGGCGCAGGTGAGCAGCAGTGGTGGGGCAGCAGACCCATCGAAGCCCACCACGTGTGTGTTTGTCATCTCCATCTCGCGCACCAGTGGCGTCTACGTCCTCTCTGTACGTTCCACCTCCCCTCCCCTCCCCCTCAACCTCCCCTCCCGTCCCCGCCTTTTCCCCCCACATCCTCATGCCCCTGCCTGCTCCTCACTCTCATTTTTTGTCTTTCCTGATTTCTCCCCCCCTTAACTTTCCTCCCCCTCCCTCCTGCAAGACTCCATCTCCCGCCTCCCATCCCTGCTCGTCCTACTCGTTTCTCCCCACGCCTCCCTATCGTCCACCTCTTCTCCCTCTCAATGCCTTCCCCTCGTCCCTCCCTTCACCATCCCATCACCCTCCCATCACCATCCCATCACCCTCCCATCACCATCCCATCACCCTCCCATCACCATCCCATCACCCTCCCATCACCATCCCATCACCCTCCCATCACCATCCCATCACCCTCCCATCACCATCCCATCACCCTCCCATCACCCTCCCATCACCATCCCAGCACCATCCCATCACCCTCCCATCACCATCCCATCACCCTCCCATCACCCTCCCATCACCATCCCATCACCATCCCATCACCATCCCATCACCCTCCCATCACCGCCCCATCACCCTCCCATCACCATCCCATCACCCTCCCATCACCATCCCATCACCCTCCCATCACCATCCCATCACCCTCCCATCACCGCCCCATCACCCTCCCATCACCATCCCATCACCCTCCCATCACCGCCCCATCACCTGTGCCTCTCTCTGCCCGGCAGGTGATTCTCCCGGTGATGCTGAGCGTGTATCTGACCTTCTCAGTGTTCTTTGCCAAGCCAGAGGACCTGGAGGTCCGCTCTGCCACCTGTGTCACGCTCTTCCTCGCCCTCGCCGCCGTGCAGTTTGTCATTGACAGCCAGGTCCGTGGGGGGATGGGTAGGTGGGTAGCGTGGGTGCGTGGGTAGGTGCGTGGGTAGGTGCGTGGGTAGGTGCGTGGGTAGGTGCGTGGGTAGGTGCGTGGGTAGGTGCGTGGGTAGGTGCGTGGGTAGGTGCGTGGGTAGGTGCGTGGGTAGGTGCGTGGGTAGGTGCGTGGGTAGGTGCGTGGGTAGGTGCGTGGGTAGGTGCGTGGGTAGGTGCGTGGGTAGGTGCGTGGGTAGGTGCGTGGGTAGGTGCGTGGGTAGGTGCGTGGGTAGGTGCGTGGGTAGGTGCGTGGGTAGGTGCGTGGGTGTGGGTCAGGCCTTGCATCAAACCCTCCCACCTGTGTCACACTCTTCCTCGCCCTCGCCGTCGTGCAGTTTGTCATTGACAGCCAGGTGGGTGCGTGTGGGCTTGCACGCACACATGCACATGCACGTGCCACATGCCTGTGCCACATCCACACAGACTTGTAACACAATGCCATCACATGCACTACTGTGCTGTTGCCAAGGGCTCCTCCTCCTCCTCCTCCTCCTCCTCCTCCTCCTCCTCCTCCTCCTCCTCCTCCTCCTCCTCCTCCTCCTCCTCCTCCTCCTCCTCCTCCTCCTCCTCCTCCTCCTCCTCCTCCTCCTCCTCCTCCTCCTCCTCCTCCTTCCCCCCAAGTCCAGAACATATCCTCCTTGTTCACATGCCACATATGCATCCTTCTCTTCCCCTGCGCCCTCCCTCCCTCCCTCCTTCCCTTTCCTCCTCGCACCCACCCATCGCCATCCGCGAGCCCCCTCCAAGCTGCCGCACACGTCGGCCACAACACCGTTGCATACTTGGTGATTGCGCCCAACATCTTCCCAGCAAAGCCCTCCTGAATTCTCCTCCCCTGTCCCCTCCCCTCGCTTTCTCCCCCTTCCCCCACCCGCTCCTCCCCCCAGCTGCCGCGCACGTCAGCCATAACGCAGTTTGGGTACCTTGTAATCACGTCCTACATCTTCATCATGCTCACAACCATCGAGACTGTTATCGTCTTCTGGCTCTCCGACCGGGTGAGCAGGGGTTTGGAGGGGCAGAGAGGGGGGAGGGTGGGCAGGGAATGGGGGGGAGACGGAGAGAGAAAGGGGTTGAGGGGACTTGACAGGAGAGACAGAGTGGTTCTATTTATCATGCTCACCACCATTGAGACTGTCATCGTCTTCTGGCTCTCTGACCGGGTGAGCGGGCGCTAGGGGAGGAGAGAGAGGGGAGGTTGGGCAGGGAAAGCGGGGGGAGAGTGAGGCAGAAAGGGGAGACGGGGGAATGAGGCGACATGAGAGGAGAGACTGAGTGGTTTTGTTGTCTTTATCCTACTCACCACCATCGAGTCTGCCGTTGTCTTCTGGCTCTCTGACCGGGTGAGCGGGGGCTTGGGTGGGGAGAGCGGGAGGGGGAGAGAGGGGTGGAGGAGAGGAGGGAGAGAGCGCAAGTGAGGGATGGGATGGGGGAGGTAGGGGGGGAAGGGGGGATGCAATGCGGACATGATAGGGAGAGGGATGGGGAGACTGTGTGAAGGTTAGAGGGTGAGTGATTGTGAAGGTTTGGCCTAGTAGCTGTTGATGACCTCCCATTCCCACCCTACACCACTCCGTTCACCCCACCCGGAGCAGATAGAAAAGGACGTGGTGGCGTCAGTGAGCAAGCGGTTTACATCGCGCCGAGACACGCCGCCCACGCCATCATCGCACGACACGTACAACACGCTCTCGGTGGAGCTCATGAAGTCACAGCCGCCGCCTCCCAGCGGCGGGGAGGGAGGGAGTGAGACGAGCGCGGAGGAGCGGGACAACGGGGAGGCGAAGCCGCCGAGCACGGGTGGACAGGCGATGGGGCCTTCTGATGGGCACGGGGGGGTTGAGAAGCCGCACGATGATATCAAGTGCAACCCAAGTGTCTGGGTACGTGCGCGGCTGGAGGGTTTTCTGGGCTGTGGTTCATGTTCGCTGCTGTCTTTGTACGGGAGTCATGTGTTTCTTAGTAAATACGTACTTTCAAATCCATTCAGGTATTGCTGGTGGTTCCTCTGCCAGCAATAAGTTCACTGCATTCTTTTCGCTGCTCATGTCAGAATTCAGAATATTGTTGCCTTCACGCCCCGTTTTCTATGTTTCAACTGTTTTTCGTACTCCCACCCACCCTGCTACTGACAGCCTTGGGGATGCCTTCATCGCTGTGGTTACCGTTACAAGTCGAAGACAGAGGGACACGAAGATGAGGCCAATTATAAGCTTGCGGTTGCGATTGATGCTGTTTGTTTCGTCGTCTTCTTCGTTGCGTACACAGTAGTGTGCATCGTGCTTTATGCGTAACTCGCTTCGGGATGATAGATAGGTGTATTGTGCATAGCACAATTCCACATAGGAAAACGCATTCATTTCTCCTACAGCCGTTGCTCGCCCGTTACTGCTAACGGGACTTCGCCAACTTCGCGCGCACTGTTTTGCCAAACCTCGCACTGCTGGCCCGGCCGTGTCGGCCTACGCTTCGGGACTAGCCCGAGCCTCGCTGCCAACGTAGCACTAGCTAGCTCGCACGCACCGCGTTACCGTCAGGGCCTATTTTATCAGGGTAAATCACCCTGATGCCCTGATGAACAGGGTGCTTTTTAGGTAGTAACACTGATGGGGTAGGGTAATTTTTTCCGGACATGCATTTACCCTGATGAGTAAGAGTTAACGAATTTGCTACACTGATGCCCCAGGGTTTCCAATCTGTTAGCGAGATTTACCCTGACGCGTGTTTCGGGCCCCCCTGTAACCCCCCCCCCCCCCCCCCCCCTCCCCCCCTCCCCCCCCCCCCGTACGCCCCCTTCCCCGAAACCTCGAGTCACCTGTGACAACTGTAATAACTGTACTTTTCGTATAGACACAACGTGTGATGGCACGAACTTGGCTCCCATTGGCCAGTACTGTAGTTACATTCGATGCACCAACAATGCCCCCAGTTGGTCTTGTTGTCCTGCAAGGGTGGCACCGAAGCAGCATTACGGCAGGAGTTTTGCCAGTCCCACTTGCCCACTGCGCACCACGTTGTATGCCATCCTGTGGATGGCTCATCTGGTTCCCTTGCCTGCACGTTAGGAAATGTTTGCACTGGGGGTCGGGGGCACTAGCGGTCTTGTGTTGGTGTTCTGTGTTAGGTCCTCGAAAATGCACTCCACCAGAGCACCCAGTTTCCCCGCTAAACAGGCCAGACTGCAGCCATAGCTCCCACCGTCGAAGATGATGGAGGTGAAGCTCCGGACGAGCCACCTAGTGACGCACCAGCGCGCACTGGCTTAGACTTCTTGCGGCTGCTGCATCAGAACCCACCGCCCGTATGCACTGCAGGCCCGTCGTCGATCAGCGGCGATAAAGAACCTCCTACCCATCCACCTGGTTCACCCGTCGCTGAGCCAGGGAGTGCTCCCGCCACCGTTAGCAGATCCGAGATCGGCGAGTCTTCCTCTGCTCCCGGGAAGAAGAAACGCCGATTTGCGCAGAGCCATCTCCCGTTCGGCACGCCTCCATCGAAGCCGACTCCACCTCCAGCCCCCGCGAAAGCTCCCCCCCGGGTGACTCGTGAGCTCACCAAAGCCGAGAAGGCCGAAGCGAAGTTCGACAAGGCGCTGGAACTCTACATATCGACGTGGCTGCCAAAGTTTGGCTGGCTGCTTCTTGATAAAAACGAGGAGGGTTTGCCCGTCTTGCGTTGCAGCATTTGTGTCGAGCACGGAAAGGACGACGCCAAGTTTGGACGCAATGGGCCGGGCGGTAGAGATCTGCAGCCCGGCTCAATGCGGTCTCACGAGCTCAGCGTCAAGCACGACGACGCCTTGAAGAAGCAGCGGACTCTGATGGCCGAGATCGAGACGCAGAGACGGATCGAGCACTTCGCCAACGAGGACAAGGAAGGTGCGCGGCTCACACGCCTGATGCGGACCGTCGAATTCATCTGCGACAACGACGCCCCCATAGCCATGTACTCCAGACTCGTTGGATTTATGGCGCAGGAGGGAGTTGCGGACATCCCGTTGAAGTCGTACGGGGTTTACATTTCGCAGTGAGTAGCGTCGCCTTACCCGTTGAGGTTTGCAGAAATGATGGCTATCCAACATGACAGCTCATCTGTCTAACCCCTTCCGACCACGCTTGGCAGGTACGGCTTCAACGAGATGGCGGCGTCAATGGCGCAGTTTCAACGAGCACAACAGCTGCAGCATCTACTTGCTTCCCCGTTTGTCGGCCTCACTTGTGACGAGAGCACGGACCGCGCGCGTGGCAAGCACTTGATAGTGTTTGCCACGTTCCTCAAGAGTGGCGTCGCCGCGACGGAGTTCTTGGCGCTGCTCTCGTTGCAAAAATGCGATGCTTCATCGCTGTACACCGTGCTGATGAGCCACCTGGATTCGCTCGGCCTCGAAGTCAAGCGCGTGTCCGGTGTTGGAACCGACGGTGCGTCGGTTATGACAGGCGACAAAGGCGGGCTTGTTGTCCGGATGCGCGAACGCGTGCCGCATCTTGTCGGCTGTCACTGTGTGGCACACCGGTGAGCTCCACTTTCTGTTTCCAATCTCTCAACTGCTTCACTTTTTGGTACCCTTGTTCTAAGGTCGCGGTTTACCAACACGTTCGTTTGTTTCTCATGTGTTCCAGGGAGGCGCTCGTAGTGAAAGACGCTGCGAAGGCTTTTCCAGACCTGAACATGATCGACGCCGGAGTCCGAGCTGTCGGGGAGATCATTTGCCGCTCTAACAACTGGTACGAGCGGTTCAAAGAGCTGCAGCAGGAGATTCACAAGACCAACCTCGAGCATCAAGGCCTGTTTAATGTTCGGTGGCTCTCGCGGGGTGACGCAATCGCACGGCTTTGCAGAGTCTTCGGGGCTGCAATCGTGATGATCGTTGAGTACGGGCACAAGATGGCTGCAACGGTGAAGACCTTCAAGTTTCATTTCTGCCTGTATTTCCTCGCTGACATCCTTGCAGAACTCAACTGCCTCAACCGCTTCTTCCAGCACCGCAAGGCAAGCCACGTTCCCGATTGCATACACACCCGTTTACTTATTGTTTAAGAGTACTAATAATCTTTCCGTGTCAATGCTTCCCAGGTCGACATCACCCAGGTGGCCAAGGAAGTGGACCGGACGATCACCATCATTACGGACTGCTACATCGTCTACGGGGAGACCTTTGGAGGCGGAGTCAGCAAGCTGCTGTCAAAGTTCATCAACGACCACGGCGGGGAGAATCGTACGGTTGTGGTTGACGGGATTGACAGCGAGGGGCGGCCGACCACACACCGATTCGTGCTGAGCGAGAAACCCATCAAGAAGCACAAGTTCGGAGGCACGCTCGCTGACTGTGAGAAGCTTTGCTCAGGATTCGCGAAGGAAATTGTGGCCCGCATGAAGTTTCGCATGTGGGACTTGCAGCAAATGGGCGGCGCGAAGCTTTTCCAGGTGGAAGCGTGGCCGTCCAGGGATGACCAGCGGGAGATCAAGTGCATGGATTGGCTGATTCAGAACGACGAGCTTTTTGGCGGCCAGCTCCCTGGTGAGTTTGAACAGGACACTTGCCATCTCGTCGGATTCGTCGTTGCATGCATCTGCAAGCCAACACCTACCCAATAACCCCCACCCGTACTTCCCCCCTGTATCTCCCTATCCACGTCAGGTTTTGACCTGAAGAAGGCAAAGAAGGAACTCAGGAGCTTCTGCCACATCTTGGCACGTCATCACGATCGCGAGGATTTCCACCAAGGACTGCAGAGCATGATGAAGACCAAAGAGTGGCGACGCAGTTATCCGAACCTAATCACACTGTGGCAGGCACTTGCTGTGCTCCCGCTTAGCACCGTGGAGTGTGAGAGAGGTTTCAGCAGGCAAAACATCATCAAGAGCTGGATGCGCACGTCGCTGGGCGACGCACGCCTTGGCGACCTAATGACCCTTCACATGCTCAACTACCCGTACGTGTGGCCGGATGTGGTGGACATCTGGCGCAAGCAAAAAACCAGACGGCCGGCAAAATCAGTGGCGCTGCCAACCCTTGAGGAGAGAAAGGGCAAAGAGAAGGTCCCTGAGCCCGAAGAGGAGAGTGAGCACGAACATGAGTGTGGCATGTCTGATGATGACGACTGATGCTGTAATTGTGTGCTGTAGTTAAACTTTCAGAACAAGGGCTTACAAAATAGTTACACTGATGACCCAGGGTAATATTCTACGAACCTGAATTTACCCTGACAGATCAGGAATTCAAAAGAAGGCTACTCTGATTACAGTATAAGGGTTTTGCTCAGGTGCTACACTGGTCGTAAGGGCTGGCCAAATCCAAAAATTAGCCCTGGTGTTGAGTGAGCCGTTTGAAAATCGAGAAACGTGGGTGGAGGGAAATGAACTCCAACCCACGGTTTTTGTAGTTGGAGAAGGGCGTTTAGCGCGCTTCGACGATGCCAATTGTGCAGTACAAGCAGCTTCGCTTTCACAATACACAATTTTAAAAAACACAATGTGTGTTTAAAAATTATAATACTGCTGGCCCGGCCGTGTCGGCCTAAGCTTCGGGACTAGCCTGAGCCTCGCTGCCACCATAGCACTAGCTAGCTCGCACGCACCGCGTTACCGTTTGCATGTTTCGCGTATAAATGTCCGCTCATGCCTTCGCTCTACTTAGATTCATTGCACCCGTTACAATACTGCAATATTTGACAAGCGTCCTGACGGCAGAACGCTCGTCCTTGCAAAACGACCTCACACGGGCACAATCCCAAGCACCTGGCACTCCGATTCAGCCCGCACCACAGACATCACAGCATGGAAGTGTGGGGCAACCCGCGAGCGCCGCAATTGATGGCGTCGTCCGCCATGACGGAGATGACGACCACGGCACAAAACACCCCGACTTGACGAATCCGGCCAGGACTGAGCCTCGAGTCACGATTTCGGTGCCGGCCGGCGAATCAACTCTTCCGTCTGACGAGAAGTGAGAATGGAATGAATGAACTATGAAACAGTTGGGTACAAGTACTAACCCTAATTGGGTTGTACCCCTTATGGGCTACCCCACTACAGCCTACACAAATGTATAAGCTATAATGTTCAAGTGGGGGAGAACAAGTGGTCACAAGACCAGTCAAGCAAAGCAAAGCAAAGCAAAGCAAGCTCAGGGTGGATCACAAAGTCACCGCACAGTCCAAGCACAAGAGTAAGGCCACAAGGCTATCAAAACTTGCTTAGAACCTAGGAAACTAGGTGAGGGTGTCGAGAGTATCGAGAGGGAAGAAGGGTTCAATAAAGAGCAAAGGTACAAAGATATAGGCAAGAACTAGGG